CCTTATAAGTGATTGCTCTAGCACACAGGGGGGGGGCAAAAAAAGTCATTTTGCCTCCATGACTTTCAAGGCGCTATAAGTTACACTTTATTAAATTTTATCGGACATTTTTACTACCATATTAAAGAGCACATTAAATACTATAACGATACTCCGCCACAGCCTTCTGGAGGAGCGCCATCGAGAGATTCGGCCGCGCGAAAGTGAGTGGGTACCGGAGTTGAGCGAGATCGTTTGATTTTCCGTGTCTCCTGACGCCACTGTATAAACCACCGTGTTGAGATCCGCCCGGAACCGAAGTAATTGAGGGGGTTAAGTTCGGGACCCCGCGCCGCCCGCTTAAATACTTCCATCTTTTTCAGGTACGTCTCAACGTTTCTTCCATTCCAAGTAGACGAAAGTTTTTCCAACGCCCTTCGATTAATGTGTTGTCACCCAATCCTGTAGCAGTACAAAGTTTCCAAGAAGGGTACGGGGCGAGAGAGTGAAGATGGGATATTCTCCTCGAGTTGCTCGATGTAGCCACCAGCGCACACCCTCAGTCTGGGGCCCACGAAGAAAATATCGGTTCATCCATTCCAGGTACGGCCGGTCCACACCATCAACCCGCGCCTTGGTGAATGGGGTGAAGATGATGTCCTGGACCGTAGCGACGTTGCCGGAGCTGCTCGATGTTTGAGGTCTTGCAGATCAAGAGTACTGGTCTCCAGGCTATCCATGGGTGATTCCATTCAAGAAGTTTCCGCAGCTGTTTGGAGGCCTCGTGAATTCCAAAGCGTTCGCCACACAGGCCGCGACTGGAGATGACTTCAATTAATGGTCATAAAGGTGAATGGCGCCAAGCCGGCTCCTGCTTATAGGAGGAAAATCTTAGGATAATCTTCCGCGCCTGGTACTGCTATCACTTCTCTGTCTGAAGCTGCGAAACTTCGTTCATCGATGTGACTACGCCAGAATGACTTTTTTGGTTGGCCCCGCCCCCCTGTATATAAACGGCAACGTCTGTCTGTCTGTCTGTCTGTTTGTATGTATGTATCGTCCGGAAATTCGGAATCACCTGAAGAGCCAGTTGGAGGGGGCGGGTCAAGGGTGGGTTGGGTAGGGCATGGGCCAAGATGTACGGAACACACGTGAACTGAGCTAAGGCCCCGCCCACTGTGGGCGGGGCGTGCGCACAGTTGTGAGCTACAAATTTCAAAAATTCGTAGTTTGGTTCCAAAGACCCCAGGGGCGGAAAAAGTATGCAAACGATGGCAATCGTTGGCGAGAAGTGAGTGAAGATAAACCGCATTTTGGGACGGGCGTTTCTAATAGTGGGCGGTGCTTGCTACGAAAATTTCAAAAATTCGTAGTTCGGTTTCAAAAGAGCTCGGAGAGTGGGAGAAGTGGCAAATGATAGGCAATCAGTTGGCGGACGAAATCAATGAAGCATTACAGTCGTCATCCTTGCACTTGATAGTCAATGTCAGTGCGGCTGCGTGCGGCGCGGTCGTCAGCACCCGTACTGCACCAATCGTTGAACCAGAGAGTGACATTACTGTATTATATCCTTCGTGTTACTCGTTTTCTATCACTTTTTGTCGCATACGCGTTTCAACGAAAAGGCTGAGAAGGCTTCAAACAGTGTGCACGCTCCTTCTCGCGCCGACACGCCCCTATCAACGTGGCGAAGATGAACGACTGTATCACGCTGACGGGCGGGCTTTCGCCGAAGTGAACGGTGCCGAGGGCAAAAATCCTCAAAACGCATACGAAAAACCCCAAAATGGGGAGTAAGGTGAAACTGACTGAATGGTTTGGCAGATGAAGTTAGTGAGGGATAACCCTAGACAGACAAGGTACAAATGGTTGTACCTACCAGTCGTCTAGGGGTATGCCTCGGCAATACTTAATTCTGCGATTCCTCATCACTAAGGGGAGTGCAGCATAGAAAATTTTGACGACTGTCTTCTAGGGGGGAGTGGAGGGGGGCAGGGGGCGGGGGGAGTTTATACGAAGTGGTGAAACGGTAAAGTGCGGGAGGTATATACAAGAAGTGAAACGGTAAAGTGCGCTAATTCTCAAAACAATATTTTTTCGACCATTCGCTCGGCGAAGCCGGCCGATCCGACTGGCCCTCCCACACATGGAAAACTTCTCACCGGGGACACGAAAACAATTAAGTCAAGATGAAAATATCTTATCTGAAGCGTAGACGACTTGAGGTGAAGTTGGAGCAAGCAGTCACGCCTACCCGATCTCAGGGATTTCAAGTATACCTTGCAGAGGACTCACTTATCACTCACTTTGAGGGGCAGTCATAACCGCACAGAACATTCCACAGTGGAGTGCAAAAAAAGTTGCCGCCCTATAGCGACGGCAGTCTGTCGACGCTTAGACTCTCCTCTGTTTTACGGAGTTCTCTGCCCATCTTTTGTCTGAACCCTTCTAGCAGCCACTGGAGAACGCCCCTTTCGGGCCTCAGGTATGGACTATTACAATCAGCACTTGATGGTTGTAGCAAAGTGTCGACAGTTACTTCACTTCAACAGCGGCAATAAAACATTTAATTCAAACAATACTCTGAAATAAATATGCTAAAGTGATAAATGAGCACCGTAGAGAAGGACAGATACATGCATACAACGATATGAATAGACGAGAACAGTTGAGCTTATGCAGGCGACAACAATAATTACAAGTTCTATTGCTAAGAAATTACCGAAAATAAGGACCCGTTGTTGAGGAAAGACAGCTGAAAGTCGATATGATGGTCAGTTCTGAGACAGTTGAGCCGACTTCGAGGGAGTGGAGTGAACCTAGAAAAACTTATCGTAGTTCAAGTGAAACTAAAGGAATGTCGTTTGTGCCACAGTGTAGTCCCTTCAGAAATTTGCAATGGTAGACTTGCACACTGCACATCTCCGAGATGGGAAGGGCGTGACTGCGCACCTCGTTTGAACATGGCGTAAAAGACTTATTTTTCTTTAGACTTTTCCATTCAAGACAATGCCATCCTGTCTTGTGCTGGACAAAGACACGACTGCTCACGCCCTGGCCAACATCGAGATATGTATTGTGCTAGTGCAGTGGCCAGAAAGGCCGAGTAGTGACACCAGAATTCGCTAGTTAAGGACAGTCGCCGCGCTCAAAGAATTCGTAAGCGCCCTTCCTTGTACATGTAGTATGATCCTCAGTCCCTGCGATTATCCCATTTCCGCGGCTTCACAGTGAATAACGAAGGTTCTGTGGCCCTCACAAGTGGCAGTTCTGACGCCTCCCTAGTTGCCCCGCCCACCAAAACTCAAAGGCTGTCATGAGTTCATCTTACGCTTTTACGTTTTTCTTTATTTTTTTACTGTTAGGCGGCATTAGCATCGGATGACGCCACAGAATGATCATTAAGCTAGAGGTGGCAGGATATCGCTTTGCTGGGCTAAAGCGAGCACGTCCGGAGAAGTAAGGCAGCCAGGTACTGACACAGGGTGAGTTCCACGATTTTTTTGGTTTTTTCTTCCTTGGAAGGTCATTTAGGATTCGCAGTTGAACGCCACTATCAACAGCATACAATCACTGAATTTGTCTCTAGGACTACATCCATCTTTCTTATCCCTAAGGTCTCAATAAAGTTGTACCCGAAGACGTGCAGTTCTTACCTTCTGTCTAGCCAAGGCACTTTGTAAGAGCGACGGTCTCTCCCTGAAAAAGATCATGAGCATTGTACAGCAACTGAAGAATCGGACTGTGTAATTGTTCCACTGAAAGCTCGGATATGATCTTACAAGGGAATGGTTTAAACTTCCCATGAAACTTTGA